AAAAAAAAAAAACGAAGTCTGGAAATCAACCCCCCCACCTTTTAGAGCCCATAAAATCTAGACTTTCGGCCCAGCTATCATGTAATTCATGTCCAAGTTAGTCCAACTTTTTTCCTTTTTTTTTTTCGAGGCATGTCATTGGACGGGAGGTGGGCATCTTTACAGTCCCCGCTCGGAAACTACCAGGCCGTCCAGATCCGATCTATTCGACGGCCGTACTTAGTCACTCTATGCCACCCGTGATCTAAATCATGAACGGCGTGGTAGAATACCTTGCTAGTGGGTCCAGGCCCCTKGGGTCTGGTCCCACCTACGGTTGTTGAGTTCAGAAAACTCAACGGTGTGAGTCCGTGTGACGCCTGGGGTGAAGTCCCACCGTCGAAGTTGAGTTTTCTCAACGCTGAGCTTTCTATCACGTGTGGCAAGGTGGGACGGAGCTCTGCTGTTGATGTATTGAGAATCTAAGGGAACCGAAATGCAAGACAATAACCTTTTTTGTTTTTTTCAAGTCCAGGGTGTTGTAGACTCAATGTAGAGGACAGTCAATGAGTGCACAGCGATCACCTGGAACTGTGAGCCATGGGTGTCCTTTTGAGACCCATTCCCAACCCATCCTCTCGTCATACTCCTAGCGCACCCCCTGTCCCACTACTATCCTACCTCAGTGTAACCATTACTACTCAGGACAGTTGCCCTGCCCACGACCAGGCAACTTGGACCGAACAACAGTGATAGGCACAGTCACACGCAGACAGACACACAGCAGTGATAGCCTGATAGGCACAGGCACAGACAGTCACACGCAGTCACACGCAGTCACACACACACTCATACCAACCAGCACACAGACAGGCACAGTCACACACACGCCAGCCAACCAGCACTCAGACAGACATGCAGTCCAGCAAGCACACACACACACAGACTTAGCAGGCGGGAACTCAGTACGCATTCAGTCTATGAGCAGTCACATGCAACTGATCTCTGTGTGTGTGTGTGTGTGTGTGTGTGTGTGTGTGTATGTGTGTGTGTGTGCGTGTGTGTGTGTGTGTGTGTGTTTGTGTGTGTGTGTGACACTGTGTGTGTCTCTTAAACCCCCAGTCACACGCAGTCACACACACACTCATACCAACCAGCACACAGACAGGCACAGTCACACGCACGCAAGCCAACCAGCGCTCAGACAGACATGCAGTCCAGCAAGCACACACACACACATACTTAGCAGGCGGGAACTCAGTAGGCATTCAGTCTATGAGCAGTCACACGCAACTGATCTCTCTCTCTCTCTCTCTCTCTCTCTCACCCTCTCTCTCTTTCTCTCTCTCTCTCTCTCTCTCTATTTGTTCTGTGTGTGTGTGTGTTTGTGTGTGTGTGCGACACTGTGTGTGTCTCTTAAGCCCCCAGTCACACGCAGTCACACACACACTCATACCAACCAGCACACACAGGCACAGTCACACGCACGCAAGCCAACCAGCACTCAGACAGACATGCAGTCCAGCGAGCACACACACACACAGACTTAGCAGGCGGGAACTCAGTAGGCATTCAGTCTTTGAGCAAAACTCAKAAATCATCTGTGTGTTTCAGTCCATGTTTGGACGGGTTATCACAACTGTGTGTTTTGAACCAACGACCTGTGTTTTAGTAGTGGCTGTGATTTGTCATAGGTCCCTRTAGTTGTAGGGATTCGATCTGTGGACCTGTCAAGTAGGGGTTACAACTGTGTAGAGGTCGAAAGACTCGAAACTGCTAGGCTAGAGGTCTGTAGGTAARTTGTAGGTCCAGCTGCGTCGAGTAGACAGTGCGGCCCCATTGAGTTGGCAGTGCAACCCCGTGCAGTCAGCGGTACCGGTCCAGTCAGTCTTGTTTGGTCTGCACCCTTTCGTTTCATGTATCCGGTTTCGTCCATCTTATATTTTGTTGGTTTTTTTTTCAAGGTTGTTGTTTTTTTTTTGTAGTCGAAGGTGCAGACATTGGGATTCAGCTTGTTTGTTTTTACTTGTTGAAGGTTGTTGATTTCTTTTTCTTGTTGTTTTGTTGTGTATTTCTGCGTTGTGTGTCAATTTTTGTTTTTGCTTTGGTGTCCAGGTTCTTTCTGCAGTTTCTGATTCTACATTTTCAGCAGTTCCTTTGTATTCTAC